TCTGCATATCGCTTCACAGACTTCGGTTACAATTGCACTCACTGTTGTAAAGCCAACTCGAAAGCTATGCCCAATGGTATAGAAGGTGTCACCAGTGGCAAGGAATCTATAAAAAAATCGTTTTTAGGTGACGAAGTAAAAAAAAGGTGGAAGAATTTGCAAAATATATAAAATCTACCAAACCAAAGACCGGCCAAGCAGTGGACAACATAAAGAAATGGCAGTGGGCTGACTACATGGAATTTTTCCGTCCTTTTTTGGCATTTGCCAAAACGTCGTCTAATGTGAAAGATATTGACGTCATACATTATGAGACTGCCGAATTTAACTCAAATATATATCAGGAAAGGGCTGGAAATGTAGAAACCGAAAATTTGGAAGACCGCGGCCATGGAGAAGATGAACATGCTGATGTAGATGCAGAGATGCACAGAACGCCTCGGCAACACAGACAGTACCACCTTCTTCATTGAACACTACAGCAGTGACTACTCCAGGGCACACCTTTCCGCAGACTGCAACTACACCAAAATATAAAACGAGCAGAAAACGCAATGAACCACCATCTTCGTCTGTACAACAACTCATTGATTATTTTGAAGGTAAAAAACCTAAAAAAGAGAACGAGGCCATTGATTCACTTTTCTTGGCACATGCACAGACTTAAAGCGTCAAGCCCGAATAAAACTAAAAATAGCCGAATTAATAGCGCACGAAGAATTTGAACATATTGAAGAAATGTCTTCAGCGTCTACCCAGAATTCTGCAAGTATGTATGATAGTAGTATGTCGTCCTTCCCAAGCGGCACTGGGTTTACTCCAATAAGATACCCAACAGAGGAGGCAAAGTCTGCCTCGAATTATTTAGCAACATTTAATCCTAGTGGCAACATGTAGTCCAATTATTACAATAAAATATTTATTTCACGATCCCTGAAGTTTTCGTATTCGATAAGCCTACTAATTTTAATTCATATAATTTTTTTACCTGAGTGTAATAGCAAGTCGTTCTTCTGGCGAAATAGCTTCACGATAATTTGTGTCAGATTTTCGTATTTCATCTTTCACCAAGTTCAATATTTCATCGAAACACTCTGGAGTCATTCTAAAATATACGTAAAAGCGCTGTTCATCCAGCCGAAGTTGTGGCATCAAGGTATGGTATTCCCCAAATTTATTTCGTTCCAAGTTAATATCATGTACCCACTTCCTTCGTTTCCTAAACAAAATTGAAAATATTTGTTTTATGTACTTCGTTAAACTTAATACATACCCAACTATCAAATGGCGTTAAATAAACATAACTTACCGTGCATTTTGTTCCTCTTCTAAAGCAAGAAATAGAAGTGCCTCCTCTTCTTCTGAAGACGAGCTCATTGCAAAAGGCAAAAATAAAATGTACGCAACCTGTCGAAACCTTCACGTTCGCGGAGCGAATAAGACGCTTTGGTATGAATAAACAGGCGAAACAGATTGCGAATTTCGCTCTGAATTTCGTTGCGAATACTTCGCCGCGATTATTTCGCGCCGGTTTGTGGGATGCTTAACAGAAGTTTTTCAGTGTTTGCCATTGCGACAGCGATAACAATCGTTCAAGCAGCCCATTAAAATTTAGACGCTGCACTGTCGCACCGCTGTCAGCGAAATTGACGCACAGGTCTGTTCTTGTTCATTTGCTTCTACGAGAAGAGTCCCTGGACGACAATGTCGTCGCGAATTAATCGCAGTCGCTGCGAAATATTCGCGTCGGTTTGGGGGATCCTTAGGTCTGTACAATCCTCTACCAACAAGTATACGTCAACTTAACACAGTAGTTCAGTTTGAATATACTTTGAAGAGCTTAGTCGCTGAACATTTTGATTCAAAATTATCAAAAATTGTTAAAAGAAAATCATTATCAAGTTAAATTCTCCCCAGTTGTTCGATTAACGCAAAATCTTGCTCGGCGAATCCATGACTCTTTACAAGCTTGGAAAATAAAATTCTGGTGTCCACGAATTAAATTACAAGCATTTTCATTGCGTTGATGAAGTTCTTCCAGAGTATTTACTGCTTCATCGTGATACACCAACTCTGTTGTGGAAATTGTGTTTAAATGTGGATCGTCCGTACTACACAAAATTAATTTTGAAAAATGTTAATTTCTGTTGAACTGTTCGATAAGCCACTTCAACTTGAGCTGCAATGGCACTGGTACTCATTTTTTGCTCGTCTTCGACCATTTCTGAAATGTCTTTCTCAATTTATAACATTTCAGGTCTTCCAGCGTGACCTCTGCGTTGTTCTTTTAAATATCCTGTGTCATGGAGTCTAATATACAAACATCCGTGAGATCGGATGATTTTTTAAAGGAAACCTTTCCGCATACAACCTGCATGCTGCGGCTGCATTTTGTTGGCACTCTCCGTATGTTAGTATTATGTCCACTAGTTCATTGTTTTCGTAAACATAGGCCATTTTTTCACACAAAATAATCAGGCAAATCAAAGTATACTGTAATATAAACTTTCTGTAATTTAAAATTATTCTCTACTTTTTAGTTCGGTTACCTATAACATAAAAGGGGCGGTTCAAGTATTACATAAGCAGATTTATTACAATTATTTACCCCCCCCATCCCCCTTGTCAGCAAAAGTAAGCAAAGCTCTTACCTCTCCCTCCATGCTTACGTAAACATTTGTCAATTAATGTATTGTTTTTTTTAATATTATAATTATGACGTTATAACTATAATTTGAAAAATAAGAAAATAGATTTAGGATAGAGATTATATTTTACTGATATGGTATTCAACAACGTAAAGGACAAAAATATATCTTACTAACACAACAAACTTATTTTAAATTTTTGGTACATATACGAGTATATTAAATTCAAATTAACAGTGTTCAGTCCATGAAACCTGAATCCATGATTCTAAGTTTTCGATTACATTGGATTGCTTCGATTGCTGCTCAGTTTTGTGAGTTTGCTCGCTTTCATCGGATTTTGGAATGTCTACGTCGTTCTCATCAAGCAATTCAACATCATGGTGCTCTAAATTTTGAATAATGCACATCAGTTCATTAGCACGACGAGCAGCGACTCTTACAATTCTAATTTCCTATCAGTGTGCGTGTTTACTTTTTTATGGATATTTTCGTTGTGACGATTAAGTGACTTGACAGAAGCATGATAAAGACCACACGTTTTGCATGTTCGACTTGATAGCCTCTATTTTACCGTCGGACAAAAATAATCTTAGGGCATTTGCAAGAAATCTTTGGGTGAAGCATTTAAGCGTAGAGCTAAATTGACTGGAAGATCAAGAAATTGCCCTCCTTCATCCAAACCCAAGACATCAACTGTTTGTTTTACTTTTTCAGGTGGTGGAAGAAACCTTTTTATCAAGTAATCTAAATAGGCCACTTCTTGGACGACAGTATTCTATATTTCTACATTTTACAATTTGAAGCGAGTATTGGCTCTCACGCACATGTTCTGAATACCATTTAATGTCTGGAAAATCAGGAAGATCTTGTTCACCTGCCCCAACATATTTTGCATTAACATTATAGCCATCAATTTCCATTGAACTCGACAGTTCAGCTAATACATTTCCTGCAAATTCGAAATCAGATGTTTCTAAATGTTCATCAATAATTGTAACGCCACGTTCATCCAAATGAGACCCAAAATGGTCATGAGGCAATATTAAACCAGCCAGTTCCCGACTAAGAGGAGCCATTCTGCGCTCTACTTTGCTATACGCACTTCTTCCAGGGCATTGGTAGCTAAAAACAATGCATCGAGATGATGTCGCTTAAAGTGTTGTATAGTATATGACTTCTTGATAACGTGGATTTTCATCTAGCCCTCCATCAACCGTCATGATTACCACTGGTTTTACTAGTCCATGGTCAGTTTTAGCTAATGGTCGAAACTCTTCAAGTTCGAGAAGCGTCTTGAAATCCTTAGCGTGAGTATTAGCAGTAGATGAACTATGCTTTCCACTTCGAATAGCGATGTATGTTGGTCCAGAGCATTGATTCCCAAAGTGGTCTATATCGACCCCTAGGGCTCTACGACGGCCTGCAAGGGGTCTACGTCAGCGAAAAAAGATTTTGGGGTCCATGAATTTGAATATGGGGGTCCACGATAGTGGATCTCAACACATACACTGATAGTACCTATTTACTTACATCATACTATCTTATAATATCAAAACATATACATTATTTATAAAAGTACCTATGAAGTAAAAAATTTATTATATATGTTTATAAAATTGTGTAAGTTGTAGGATGTTGGTATTCGCTTTGTGGTCGCAATACATTTTGAACTTGTAAAAACCTGAGAGTCGCAGTCTCACAGCTTCGCTACCTTGCACTGACTTGTTCAATTCGTCACTCTATAAATACGAATGTGGGAAAAACACGTTTATTCGTTTCCTGAATCTTGAAAAGGAAAGTGCTAAGAAAATATTTTAAAAAATATAAACAGATAGTATATCACACAAATTATAGTGAGTCAGTGTTATTTTGTTTGAGAGTGCTGGAGAAAAGTAAGTACATTATTTTTTATTAAATTTTAGTTTTGTACTCGTAGTTAGCAAAGATAGATAAATTACGCCAATCATGACTTTAGTTATTAGTAGTTAAATATTCAATCATGCAAAATTACACGAGTACTCCTCAATAGTTTCTTTTTGAAAGTTTTAGCTATCGGTAATATAATTACAGTGCAATCTCCGTAATTCAAGCTAATTGTTGCAAGAAGATGTTCGAATTATGGAATGTTTTTGGAAAAATCAAAAAATATTTTTAATGTACAGCTGCTGGATTTTCTGTCTGATATAAATAATTTAATTTTGCCCACAGATAACTGATGCCATGTCCGAATCTAAAAAGAAATGTAGACAGTACAGTGTTGATTATTTGAAATTTGGCTTCATTCCATCATTGCCGGACAAACAATCGCCTATGTGCCTTTTATGCAACAAAGTTTTGGGCAATGACGCTATGAAACCATCTAAACTGCAAGATCATCTGAGAAGATGCCACCCTGATAAAACAGAGAAAGATTTGAAATACTTTCAAACACTCAAAGATAAATTTCAGAAGGGACCTACACTGGACAGAATGTTCGCTTCGACGTCACAAAGAAATAATGGTTTGCGGGCGTCTTACAATATCTCGTTACTTATAGCAAAATCCGGAAAACCGCATACTATCGGAGAGAAGTTAATTTTGCTAGCCGTTGAAGAGGTTTTAAAAACTGTTTTACACAAACCTGCATCTGATATCATTAAAAGAATTCCCTTAAGCAACAATACTGTTGAAAGACGTATTGATGAAATGAGTTCTGATATTGAAAGTTTCTTATGTAATTATTTGCAAACGAGCCATTTCTCTATACAACTGGACGAGTCAACTTTACCTGATAATGCAGCATTATCATTGGCATATGTTCATTTTATTATGAATCAAGAAACCTACGAAGAACTGCTCTTCGCAAGAACTTTGATGACCGACACTAAAGGTGAATCAATATTTCATGTTTTGAAGGATTACTTCATTTAAAAAGCAATTTCTTTATCAAATATAATATCAGTAGCTACAGATGGAGCACCTGTCATGGTTGGACAATTTATAAGCTATTTAAAACAAAATGTGTCAGGGGTGTTAGCAATACATTGCGTCATCCATCGACAACATTTAGTTGCTAAAAATTTGAGTGTTAGATTGCATGAATCACTTCATTTGGTCATTGATGCAGTAAACCGAATACGAAGCAACGCGTTGAATACGCGGTTATTTGCGCAGTTGTGTGAAGAAAATGACTAACACTTTCATCAATTACTCCTTCACACTGAAGTACACTCTCTGTCGAAAGGCTTATGTTTGACAAGATTTTTTGCACTTTTTGAGACTATTTTAGAATTTCTGGATACTAAAGATAAAATTTTAAAAGAAAATTTAATGAAGAGGAAAACAGACATCGCATATTTAAAAACAAAGTCCATCTTATCAGCGTTTCTTGCCAGAGTTAAACTAATGAAGCAAAATATTGGACGGGGCGAATTTTCTCAGTTCCCCAATTTGTCACAGACAAGCTGCCAGGAAGACGTTTCAACTTACGTTCAACATTTAAATGCCCTCTGTTCAGATTTTGAATCTAGGTTTGAGGATATTTTGACTATGGTAATACCACCGTGGATAATTAATCCATATGGTGACATAGAAGAAACGAATGTCATAATACAAGAGGAACTGACTGAACTAAGTACAAACGAAGAACTTAAGGTTCAGTTTAAATACGGATATCAGCAATTCTGGCTGCAAAACAACATACCCGTTACTTATCCCGTATTATGGAATATAGCGAGGAAATTTTTAATTTCCTTTCCATCGTCATACCTACTGGAAAGGGGGTTCAGCGCTGGACTGGACATCATTAGCCGAGGAGATTTAAGTTTAACCCTTACAAAATTGACGCCAAATGTTGATAATTTATTATTAAGGCATCAGGTTCATCCTTCTCACTAAAAATATTGACTTATTGCTTATGTTATTTTATCTATAGTTTATTCTATGTTTATTGGTGTCTGACCAATAAATGCCCGCATTGGGAATAAGTGCCCGCATTGATTTTTTATAGAAAATATTTTTTTTTAATTATTCTGAAAATTCAAGGATAGGTACACACTAAAATTCGTTAATTTTTTGCCTATTTTTAGATAACTTAAACGTATAAGAAGCGGAATTTAATCAAACTAACAGTGAAATTATTGTAGAACATACGTTTATGTTATAATTAATAAACGAACTCGCTTATTGTACTATTTTAAGTAAAACACTTTTTTTATTATTTTTCATTTTTTTTTTTATTTTATCCCTCTTATTTTTTTTTCAATGCGGGCACTTATTCCCAATGCGGGCACTTATTGGTCAGACACCTGTTTATTTAATGTTACGTATATTTTACATAACAGATACAAAATTTTATTTTGAGTAGTTTTAATTTAAATTCAATTAATAAATGTATGAATTAACATGTGTTTTTACTTTAAGTTTTTAACACTAAACTTCACTACAGTTAGAAATTTACAGGAAATCAATATCAGGTAAGTAGTGGGTCTACCCAACACGGAAAAACATGACAAGGGGTCTACGACACAAAAAAGTTTGGGGAACTCTGGTCCAGAGTATCCAACGGCTTGCGGCTGTCCTAGCATATTGGAAGTGATTCTGACGCCAGCATAAACAGATTGTATTAATTTATGACGCTCAGCGATTACCCAATCGTGATCAGGCAATTTGATTCTATATTCCATGTGCATTAGAAGAGGTGCTCGCTTATTTGCCGCAGTTACGCCAATAGGGACTCGAGCTTTATCATCTTGAGATATGAAAAATACTTGATCTCGTCCAAGTATGGATGCTATGTTCTCTAAATAATGGATTGATGTTTCAGCAAACTTGTTATCTAATTGGCTCTTGTGGTGATCAGTTTGAGCCCGAATGAGCTTAACAGGGACTGTCGATACATGTCTTCGTCCCTCTGCAGAATTAGATTTTCTGGGAATCAAACGAAGATATGTCCCACTGTGACTAATGTCAAATCCTATTTTACGTTATTCTTATGTGGGTTCATCAAGAGTTTTTACGCTGCGACTTGATTCCGTTCGTCTTCTATCATCTGCTGCAGTCCCAAATAAAGCTATATCCGCGATTGTTTTCAATAGTGAATGTTGATTGCTTTCAAGATTAGGACGTCCCACTGAATCCCTCCGAGATAGACTTTTTCTTATTTCTGGATTTTCATGACAAATATCTTCTAACTTTCTTTTCATACCATCCCTGTGTTTCTTCTGGGCAACTGCGTTTTGAACCTTCCTGTTTAAAGACGGTTTTGCTGTTTTGTTTCCTCGCGCAACTTAATGATCTGTCTATCAACTTCAGCACGGCCTGGCATAGTATCTCTGGCAGAATACAAATCATTCAGATTTTTTTCGCTTAGAGCAATCTTATTTTTCATAGCTTCCTGAGAAGGTCTACTCGCTATAGTATCCAAACGAAACAATACACTGATAGAGGAAATTTAGACAAGTGAACACCGCGCGGTAATTCCCCTACTCGGTTCTAAAGCGAGTAGGGGAATTACCACGCGCTATTTACTAAACGTATGGATTATTTGCGGGAATCCCCGTAAATGCGTTTTTTTTTTCAAGCAAAGACAATGTGAGTGTTGCCATTCGTGTAAAAAATTAAATAACTACCGATGACGTGATCATCATCTAGACTTCCCTACCCCCATGCCATCTAAAATAAGCAAAGCAAACATAAATAAAACATACATACAGGGCAGGTCATTTAAAGTGGAAGCATTTGTTTATAAAACAAAAATACATTAAAAAATATTTTTTGTTGTTCATTTGTTGTAATTACTTTTCAAAAATGATATCCCGCAAATGGCCACCTCTGGCCTTGATAACCAAATGTGCCCTTTTTCGGCGTTTTCGACGAATATTGTTCTTGAGGGCAACTAGAGTCCTTGGCTTGTTAGCGTATACCTTGAATTTCAAATAGCCCCACAAATAAAAGTCTGGTGGCGTCAAATCAGCTGATCTCGGTGGCCAATCAAAATCGCCATTTTTCGATATCAGTCGTCCAGGGAACAATTGTCGCAATAAATTGATTGTTGCTTGAGCTGTGTGGCATGTGGCGCCGTCCTGCTGGAACCAGTAATCGTCCATGTCATTTTCACAAACTATTAGCCTCAAAAAATTTTTTATCATGACTCGATAACCCTCAGCATTAACGGTTACCGCAGCTCCATCATCGTCTTCAAAAAATACGGCCCGATGACCATATTCGTGCACTTACCGCACCAAGCAGTAACTTCTTGGTCATAAAGAGGCTGCTGTTCGATTAATTGAGGGTTTTCGGTAGCAAAAAACGGACAATTTTGTTTACTTACGCCTACATGTAACGAAAAATGTGCCTCGTTGGACATGATGATTTTTCGCCAAAAGTCATCTCCATTTTCGGCCATTTCAATGCTCCATTTAGCAAATTCAAAGTGACACGTATAATCAGCTGGATTTAACTGATGAGCAATTTGAATTTTGTATGGAAACATCTTCAAATCCTTACGAATTATCCGTTGGAGAGTGGTTAGAGCGATGCCTAACTCTTGAGAACGATGACGACCGGATGTTGATGGAGTCTCTTCAACACGGGCTCGCACGGCTTCAATATTTACATCGAAAAGTCTTGCTCGTTGTCAGGATAGGTGACTGGCATTACTAAGGCTACCGGTGTTCACAAATTTTTAGTATAAACGTCTGATAGTGTTATCAGCTGGAGCACTCTCAACTTAATTTTTGTTACAAAACGCACGTTTAGTTTTCACGATTGAGAAGTTATTTTGATTGTACAACTGAATAATTTCGGAGCGTTGTTTTGGTCAAAATTGTACTGAAATGACGCTTTCAACGCGGTATAACATTAGTCGATCTGTCAACTAATGTCGAAGATATACGGTTGCTTAATGTTTTCACTTTAAATGCCCCACCTTGTATAAGCGTGTTAAAAATTTAGATAAACGATAAGAATAGTAAACAAAAACCGCTAAGACTATACGCGCCAGTGGTCGAGAATACAAAAAATCTCTGTAATAACATTCTTTTTTTTATTTTTTTACGACAAAACGAACCATGGACATAGTTTTACTGTAGCCGCTAGAGGGTGCTCTCTACTGTACCTGTAGTGTATTAAAATGTTCGAAAATTTTTTCTTAGTGCAATTTTTTGTTTTTTGATTAAAAAAACTGATTCTTCGCACTTTTCAACATAAAAAAGCTCTCTTGTGAATTTTCGATATAGTCAGCCGTTTTTGAGATATTTGGATTTTTAAGGTTCGATGCATTTTTAATTATTTATGATAAATTAACGTTAAAAAGTCAGTATCTCGATAATTTTTAGAAGTAGGCTATGCCTGCAAATATTTTTGAAATTGAAAGCAGAATAAGGTTAAACGTCAATTAGTTGACAGTTAGATTTGTTGTCTGTTGAAACCTAAAACGTTTTTTTGCAATTGTGAATGCACGAAATTTAGTTTCTTTTACCTGTTTTTTTTTTGTAAGTTTTATAAATATGCCATTTTTATTCTCCAATCAAGAGTTAGCGGATATTCATTTTGTGTATGGCTTTGTAAATGGAAACGCAGCAGAAGCAGCCAGAGAATACGCACGAAGATTTCCAAACAGACGACATCCAACTCGCTCAGTGTTTGTAAGAGTGCATCGCCAAATAATTGAAAATGGTTTTGGAGGTCTCTAAAGGGATCAAAACATAAATGTTCGTCAGCGCAGGTTTACCTGTATGATTCTGCGTGAGTTTGATAGAGATCCGACCACAAGTGTTAGGAGAGTTTCTGGTGCCTTGGGAATTTCAGCAAGCCATGTTCACCGTGTTCTTAGAAATGACGATAGACTTCCTTACCATTTGCAACCTGTGCAAGGACTACAGCCAGGGGACGGAGAACGAAGAATTACATTTTGTCAGTGGATTCTTGATAGAACTGATAATAATAGGGAGTTTTTAAGTAACGTTTTATGGACCGATGAGTCATGCTTCACTAGACGTGCAGTGGTAAATTTTCATAATCAACATATTTGGTCGCATGAAAATCCGCATGCAGTTCGGGAAAGAAATTTTCAGCATGAATTTAGTATGAACGTGTGGATTGGTATCTACCGTAATCGACTATTTGGACCCTACCTTTTGCCTGCAAGGTTAAATGCTGCGACCTTCTTGGAATTTTTAAAGGCTGAACATGCAAATATGTGGGATGATGTTATGTTAGATTTAAGAAGATTGGCCTGATTCCAGCTTGATGGTTGCCCAGCTCATTAGTCCAGAATAGTTAGAAACTGGCTGGACGAAAATTATCCAGAAAGATGGATCGGCCGTGGAGGACCAGGCGCCTGGCCTCCACGATCCCCTAACCTAAATCCATTAGATTTCTTTGTGTGGGGATTTCAAAAATAAAAAGTGTACCAGACTCCCGTAACCACAAGAGATAATAGCTAATAGACAGAATCAGGAATGTATGTGATGAAATACGACCTTATTTGAATAATGCTATACCACGTTCGATCATTCGTGGATGTGAATTGTGTATTGAACAATTGGGCTTACATTTCGAGCAACTACTTCAGATTTTTTATGTTTGTCCTAACTATCCAATAGCATTTTAGTTGTAAATAATTAATTTAATTTGTTAAAAATAATATTGGAAAATTAAACAAATTAATATTCTGATTTTTTGTGTTTATTTGGAGTTAGGAGTTATGCTGTGTT